TTTATTGCTCTATGTCTCCCTCCTCGATACAGCTTCCTTTCCCATATTTAAACATGGTTCTCTTGTTCCCTTTCAACTTTCTCTTCTCCAAGTTCAACATCCCCAGATCCCTAGGCTGCTCCTCAGAGGGATCCATGGCTTCCGGACTTCACCTGTTTTGTCAACATCCTCTGAACTTTTGGATGTCTGGTCCAAAAATTGCCCAAGACCTCATGGCCACTAACAAACTATGGGGATTATGGGACTTGTCGTTCTTAAAAGTAAGAACGCCACATTCTGGTTCCGCTCTAGAGTGAGCAATCTCTAAATCCAAATATGAGTTCAATCATTACATTAAAACAGCTACAGGGTTTGTTGAAGCCTATCTATCTATCTATCTATCTATCTATCTATCTATCTATCTATCTATCTATCTATCTATCCAAACACCATCCCATCTATTTATCTATCCAAACATCCATCCATCCATCTATCTATACACCATCCCATCTATCTATCCAAACATCATCCCATGTATTTATCTATCCAAACATCCATCCATCCATCCATCCATCCATCTATCCAAACAACCATCCCATCTATCGATCTATCGATCTATCGATCTATCTATTCAGTTGAAACCACTGGATCTCAGAAGGCTCCAAATGGCCCCCGGAAATGAGTTTGTATCTCTCTCTACTGGGAAAGTTTTGCAAGGAACTGGGCGCTTTCCCAAAAAATAATTTGGAAAAACGATCTCGGCGAAGCTAATTTTGGGCAAGAATGCAGAAAGCGTGCTTCCTCCCCTTGCTAAAAATACAGTGCCCTTTTCCTCCCAAACTGGTCCGCTGTTGTTCTCACACTGGGAAATCTGGGACTGGAGAGAAGGTGGTCTCCATCCCTTTCCTCAAAGAGCTATAGAAATCAACCTTTCAGCGTTGCATGGAGAAGAAGGCATTTGGGGTGATGGTTTCAAAGAAATAAGGGAACACCTCAGACTATAATGCTTCCCTCCTTCCTAACAAATATTAAGGAGTAGCAAGGTGAAAGATTCCTTTTCAAATCCCATGTAGCAAAGAAAGATTGGGGACCTAAATACTGATATCTGTTTGATATGGGGAGCATAGAGCAAACTTTGGTCTCTTGGATGTTTTGTGCTTCATCTCCCAAATTTTGGTCAACAAGCTCCTCCCCCACAAATATACCCTTTTCATTGCTATCTCATCCAGAGTTTTATCATTTTATGTCGTGCATTTGGCCCGCCCATTGTGTTTGATTTTCCATTATGTTATTTTGCACTGTTTATTTTACTTGATTGGGTTATTTATTTTATTGTGATGTTATTTTGTTGTTTATATTTTATTTTGTTGTAATGTATCACTGGGCTTGGCCTCATGTAAGCCGCTCCGAGTCCCCTTTGGGGAGATGGAGGTGGGGTATAAAAATAAAGTTATTATATTATTATTATTTGAAACACAACAAGATGAGTCCACAGCAGACAAGATCACTCTGCTGGATGTTGTATGGCATCACACGTCAGGCACTTCCCAAGTCTCTAGGACCATATAATAATGCGTTTCTCAACCTGGGGGTCAGGACCCTTGGGAGGGTCACGAGAGGGTGTTGTCAGAGGGGTTGCCAAAGACCATCAGAAAACATAGTATTTGCTGTCAGTCATGGGGGTTCTGTGTGGGAAGTTTGGCCCGATTCTATCATCGGTGGGGTTCAGGATGCTCTTTGATTGAGGGTGAACTATAAATCCCAACAACTACAACTCCCAAATGGCAAGGTCTATTTTCTCCAAACTCTACCAGTGTTCACATTTGGGCATATTGAGTATTTGTGCAAAGTTTGATCCAGATCCATCATTGCTTGAGTCCACAGTGTTCTCTGGATGTAGGTGAACTACAACTCCAAAAACTCAAGGTCAATGTCCACCAGACCTTCCCAGTATTTTCTCTTGGTCATGGGAATTCTGTGTGCCATGTTTGATTCAATTCCATCATTGATGGAGTTCAGAAGGCTCTTTGATTTAAGGTGAACTATAAATCCCAGCAACTCCAGCATTACCAAATGACAAAATCAATCACCCCCAACCCCACCAGTATTCAAATTTGGGTGTATCGGGTATTTGTGCCAAATTTGGTCCAGTGATGAAAATACATCCTGCATATCAGATATTTACATTACAATTCATAACAGTAGCAAAATTACAGTTATGAAGTAGCAATGAAAATAACATTATGGTTGGGGGTCACCACAACATGAGGACCTGTACTAAGGGGCCGCGGCATTAGGAAAGTTGAGAAACACTGGTGATGTATCGGCGAATGATGCGTGCACATCCCAGTAAGATGGCCTTTTGCAGCTAGCAGATGGTAATTTTGTCAGTGTCAATTGTGTTTAAGTGCAGGCCAAGGTCTTTAGGCACTGCACCCAGTGTGCCGATCACCTCTGGGACCACCTTGACTGGCCTGGGCCAGAGTCTTTGCAGTTCGATCTTTACATTCTTGAATCGTGTAAGCTTTCCCAGTTGCTTCTCGTCAATTCTGCTTGAATTCTTTTGATAGAATTTAAGATGTTTTAGAAAATGAAGAAAAAGACAGGCAATGGAACACACACACACACACAACATATGGGAAAACATGTACAAGCCAGCTCAAATATCTCTCTATAGGAAACAAAAAACCAGCAAGAATGACATGAAGAACTAACAAAGATTCAGTCCAAGTATAACAAATATTTAATTCCAGGTTCTGGGAGCCACCTAGCGGATGTATCATTTCATGCACTAACATGCATTTGTCAGGTTTTACATATTTACAGGTTAGGGCATAGTGCAGTGGTTCTCAACCTGGGGGTTGGGACCCCTGTGAGGGTCGCGAGGGGGTATCAGAGGGGTCGCCAAAGACCATCAGAAGACACAGTATTTTCTATTGGTCATGGGAGTTCTGTGTACGAAGTTTAGCCCAATTCTCTCATTGTTGGAGTTCAGAAAGCTCTTTGATCCCAGCAACTACAACTCCCAAATGTCAAGGTCTATTATCTCTAACCTCCTCCAGTATTCACATTTGCGCATGTTGAGTATTCGTGCCAAGTTTGGTCCAGATCCATCATTGTTTAAGTCCACAGTGCTCTCTGAATGTAGGTGAACTACAACTCCAGAAGTCAAGGTCAATGCCTATCAAACTCTTCCAGTATTTACTGTTGGTCATAGGAGTTCTGTGTGCCAAGACTGGTTCAATTCAGTCATTGGTGGAGTTCAGAATGCTCTTTGATTGTAGATGAACTATAAATCTCAGCAACTACAAATCCCAAATGACAGCATCAATCTCCCCTTCAACCCCACTAGAATTCAAATTTGGGCGTATCAGGTTTTCCTGTCAAACTTGGTCCAGTGAATGAAAATATATCCTGTATCTTGAATGTTTATATTTTGATTCACAACAATAGCAAAATTACAGTTGTGAAGTAGCAACAAAAATAATGTTATGGTTGGGATGTATTGTTTGTTGTTGTTTATTGATGTATTGGGTCTCGGCCTCTTGTACGCAGCACCAAGTCCTTCAGGAGATGGTAGAGGGTTATAAATAAAGGTTTATTATTATTACTAGTATTATTGGGGGTCACCACAACATGAGACAACTGTATTAAGGGGCCGCGGCATTAGGGAGGTTGAGAACCACTGGCATAGTGGATAGTTTGGGAAAAGTCCTGTCTCTATACTACAGCTCTCAGAACCAAACCCCCCCCCCCCCCAGCTAGCAAGAAGAGATGATCTGTCAGTATACTCCGTATCAGTGATTTGCATCTTCCGATCAGATGCAACAAGGAAAGGAGAAGGAGAAAAATACTATTATTATTGTGTTGTTGAAGGCTTTTATGGCTGGAATCACTGGGTTGCTGTGAGTTTTCTGGCTTACCTGGCCGTGTTCCAGAAGCATTCTCTCCTGACATTTTGCCTCCATCTTTGGCAGGCATCCTCAGAGCTTGTGAGGTCTGTTGGAAACTAGGGAAATGGGGTCTATATACCTGTGGAATGATGTCCAGGGTGGGAGAAAGAAGTCTCGTCGGTTGGAGGCAAGTGTGAATATTTCAACTGGCCACCTTGATTAGCATTTAATGGCCTTGCAGCTTCAAAGCCTGGCTGCTTCCTGCCTGGGGGGTTCTTTCTTGGGAGTTGTTAGCTCACCCTGATTGTTTCTTGTCTGGAATTCCTCTGCTTTTTTTAGTGTTGTTCTTTATTTACTGTCATGATTTTAGAGGGTTTTTTTAAAATACTGGTAGCCCCATTGTGTTCATTTTCATGGTTTCCTCCTTTCTGTTGAAATTGTCCACATGCTTCTTGTGGATTTCAATGGCTTCTCTGCGTAGTCTGACGTGGTGATTGTGAGAGTGGTCCAGCATTTCTGTGTTCTCAAATAATATTTATTTATTAATTATTTATTTACAACATTTGTATCCCGCTCATATCATCCCGCTGGCGACTCAGGGTGGTGTACAAGTAGGCAACAGTTAGATGCCATATATAAAAATTCATACATCAATAAAAAGCAAAAACATCACAATACATTTTAAAACCATAAAAGCAATGAATAATAAAAATTACAAAAAACTATGTCTTCTTGTTCAAATCCTCAACCGTTATACTGTGTCCATAAATCAATAGAGACCAACACTAAAAAACAACAACAGGGGAATTCCAGACAAAAATCAAGCAAGGCCAACTAACACCTCCCAGCAAGGCCATTCGATGCTAATTAAGGTGGCCAATTTTGTAACTTTACTTTCCGGACAACCTGCATATTTAGGTGGCAAATTTTGATCCCGAAACCTTTGGGCATGGGGCAATCCTAAACCAGCAACCCTATTTGTGCCCTTTGTGTTGACGAGGCAATTATATTCCCTTTGCATTGACACATTTGAGCATGTAGTGCTTGAAAATGACACCAGGGATCATCCTTAGGGCTCAGCTTTGCCTAGACTGGCAACCCTACTTGTGTCCCTTGGGTCGGCAACCCAAGTGATTCGAAATCAGAACCCCCTTCAAAGTGGGGCTCAAGCGAAGACGGGGGAGTTTTGCCAATAGGAATACACCAAGAACCCTGTGAAGGTGCTGTCCGTTTTCACGCTGGAGTAGAGGCCCGTGTAGTCCCCAACCCCGACTTGGACCCAGACTTCGTCCTCCGGTTCCAGCCGAACCAAGGCGCCTCCGGAAAGAGAGGTCGGCTTGGGCCAGTTGCCGTAGAACTGGAAGAAGGAGGCCACCGACTTGCCATTCTTCATGATGTCGAACTGGAGGCTCATGCGGTAGACGGTGGCGTGGACAGCGAAGTAGTAGAGCCCTGGAATCTCGCAGATGAACTTGCCCGTCTCACTGTCGTAGTGGCTTTGTTCGTTGATCAGGACCACGTCAAAGATGATCGGCTGGTCTGGCAAAGGAGGGCTGCGGGACTCAGAGCGTTTGGCACTGAAGGCGGAGCGGGGGGCCACTGCACATTCGCCTTGCGCCCCCTTCTCTCCCTGTACGCCATTCACGCCAGGACTGCCTTGCTCTCCTCTGGGGCCGGAGGGACCTTTAAGGAATCAAGAATAGTATCATTAGAATCAGCATCCCCACCATGACATTTCCACTCCACTTTTCTTTCTTGCACGAATTCAGGGGGTTAACCGTCTGCAGAATGCCAAGAGCACTATTTGCAAAAGGCAAACTGGAAATATTAATGAAGTCCAACTTAGAATGAGAATCACAGAGTTGGAATTGACCTTGTCGGCCATCCTCTTGCAGGTCTAACTTTCATGGATTTGATTTTTTTTTTTGGTCGTGTCAGGAGCAACTTGAGAAACTGCAAGTCGCTTCCGGTGTGAGACAATTGGCTGTCTGCAAGGATGTTGCCTAGGGGATGCCCGGATGTGTTACCATCCTTGTGGGAGGCGTCTCTCATGTCCCCGCATGAGAAGCTGGTGCTGATAGAGGGAGCTCATCCGCGCTCTCCCCAAATTCAAACCTGCGACCTGTCGGTCTTCAGTTTTCTTGGTCATGTCAGGAGCAACTTAAGAAACTGCAAGTTGCTTCTGGTGTGAGAGAATGGGCCATCTGCAAGGACATTGCCCAGAGAACACTGCCCGGATGTTTTGATGTCTTACCATCCTTGTGGGAGGCTTATCTCATGTCTCCACATGGGGAGCTGGAGCTGACAGAGGGAGCTCATCCACGCTCTCCCCACATTCGAACCTGCGACCTGTCGGTCTTCAGTCTTGCTGGCACAGGGGTTTAACCCACTGTGCCACCAGGGCTCCTATGGATTTGATTATTTACATATTTGCCATTGATAACAACAACAACAACAACAAATACACTATGTAACACAATTTTGATAGGGCCCCCTGGTGGTGCAGTGGCTTAAACTGCTGAGCAGCTGAACTTGCTGACCGAAAGGTTGACGGTTCAATTCCAATGAGTCATGGCCTTGGGCCTGTACAATAAACTATTTTGATGATGAGTGAGGTAATCTCTCACTGTTAGCCCTAGCTTCTACCAAACTAGCAGTTCGAAAACATGCAAATGTGAGTAGATCAATATGTAGGGCTTCTGTGGGAAGGTAGCGATGCTCCATGCAGTCATGCTGGCCACATGACCTTGGAGGTGTCTATGGACAACGCCGGCTCTTCGACTTAGAAATGGAGATGAGCACCAACCCCCAGAGTCCAACACGACTGGACTTAATGTCAGGAGAAAACCTTTACCTTTACCTTTACCTAACACCAACAAAAATTACACTATATAATACAATTTTGATAGGGCCACCTGGTGGCGCAGTAGCTTAAACCGCTGACCTGCTGAACTTGCTGACTGAAAGGTTGGCAGTTCGAATCCAGGGAGCGGGGTGAGCTCCCGCTGTTAACCCCAGCTTCTGCCAACCTAGCAGTTCGAAAACATGCAAATGTGAGTAGATCAATAGGTACAGCTTATGCGGGAAGGTAGCGATGCTCCATGCAGTCATAATGGCCACATGACCTTAGAGGTGTCTATGGACAATGCTGGCTCTTCAGCTTAGAAATTGAGATGAGCATCACCCATCAGAGTAGGGCACGACTAGACTTAATGTCAAGGGGAAACCTTTATCTTTACTAACATGATTTTTGTTCATGGGTTTAGAAATGTGATTTCCTATTTGGTTCTATCACAAAAAACATGGAAAAAAGTTTTAAAAACTGTTTTTGTGGGACATCCTGCAGCACATTTTGTGAATACTTCACAAAATAAACTCAACCGATTCAACTTAGTTTGTGGCAGCCACAAAAACGAAGTTTGCGAAGTAGAACAACTACTGTACTTTCAAAGTTAGTATCACACAATTAAACAGGAAATAACTCTTTTCAAATATTGTTACATAGTGTAATTGAAGTCCAACTTTTGCAGGTTTAACTTTTAGGGATTTGATTATTTGCATGTTTGTCAAACAACAACAACAACAACAAAAATATTGATGTCTTGGGCTCCTTCCACACAACTGTATAAAACCCACACTGAACTGGATTATATGGAAGTGTGGACTCAGATAACCCAGCTCAAAGCAGATATTGTGGATTCTCTGCCTTGATAGTCTGGGTTATATGGCTGCGTGGAAGGCTTTTAGGCATATTCCTGGAGTTGTTTGGGGTACTGATTCAGAAAATTGCAATGGATAGACTGCACCAGCTCTAATTTCTTAGATATGGTTATCATGGTTTTCTATGGACGAGCAGATGACAACAGGTAGACGGCATGTGTTCTGTATCTGAAAAACTAGAGCTGAAAGGAGGAAACTGGTGCCATTATTGGAATCAACAGGTTAAATATACCTAAAAACAGGTTTATCATAAATGTGTTGGGTAGTGATGGGGAACTTTTTGGATGTGGACCAATATTGCACATCTATGTAAATAAAAATCCTGCAAGGAAGACTCCAGCAATACATGGAGCGAGAGTTGCCAGACGTTCAAGCTGGGTTTAGAAAAGGCAGAGGAACGAGAGACCAGATTGCCAATATCCGCTGGATAATGGAGAAAGGCAGGGAGTTTCAGAAAAACATCTATTTCTGCTTCATTGACTATTCTAAAGCCTTGGACTGTGTGGATCATAATAAACTGCAGCAAGTTCTTGGTGGTATGAGGAGACCAAAACACTTGTCTCCCTCTTGAGGATTCTGTATCAAGACCAAGTAGCAACAGGAAGAACTAACCATTGAACAACAGACAGGTTCAAGATTGGGAAAGGTGTACAGCAGGACGAGCCCCCATTTGTTGCGGCACATACTTTACCCGAGATCATTTAGAGCACAATCAAGCAGGAAAGAGACGGAGACAGCAATTTGATTCCAGGCATATTTACTATCAAGGTTGATAGGACGCTCAGAAACAATATCTGAAGCGTACTGGAAGTCAGTCAGCTTACAATATTTATAGCAAAATTCACTAGTTCAGACATGCGCACAATTGCCATGACATTTACACAGATATAAACATTAACAGAGGTATTTCGCATTACCTTTTCCCATACATCACAATGACATATTATATTGACGTACTTATAATTGTTTCAAATCTTAATTATTCCCATATTCGTAATATATCTGAAGTTACCTGCTATTTACCTCACTGAACCACCAGATGTTGCTCTGACCTTTTCCAGCCTCAGATCAATTATCTACACAAGCGTCCTTGTCTGGTTGCCAGAAACATTCCCTTGATGATAAACATCTCACTTTATTATTGTTTCCCAAATGTCATGTTCCCGTTAATATTTAACTTCCTTGATCTCTGAAGCCCTTATTTTAGTCTATGGAACATTTCGCTTCTCCCTGCCGCAAACACTCCTTCGCTAGTATTTCAAGGTAAGTTTTCCTATATTCATTTTTTAAATATATTTTTATAATCATTCTTTTCCGCTGACTGCTACATTCCCCCCTTTTTGCGAGCGGATGTTCCACAGTAGACTCGCAAACTCACGCAATTACATTTTTAGCAAAAAAATAATATTTAACACAATCATTTATCACAGTTATTGAAGAATGTTCCATACACGTTGGCATCTTCACAGTGCTCCTCATTCTTCTGTCTGATGTATTTAACCCGCGTTCAGATGTAGTCAAAACCAGAGCCGTAGTCCTCCTTCTGGATCTCATGTCACTGCTGGTTTGATGATACAAAGTCTCAAAGGAATCCTTTGGATCAAGAGTCACAGTCCCTTCGAGTGATGCTTTCCTTATTCTAGTATAATGTATCCAGTCTTTTATCTGCAAAGGGGCTATGACCAGCTCTTTTCCTCGTCCCTTTCGGGTTGCGGCCTTTGCTGTGGTGTCAGCATACCAGTTTCCATAGGTCACACGTTCCTTGTCACATTGATGTACTCTGCAATGCATTACTGCTACTGATGCAGGAACTCAAACAACATCTAATAATTTCAAAATGGTCTCACTATGTTGTATTTCTCCCAACAGAATTTAGTAGTCCCTTGTCCTTATATAATGCTCCACATGCATATAAGGTAGTGAATGCATATCTAGAATCTGTATACATGTTGACTATTTTTTCTTCTAATAACTCCAGAGCTCTAATGAGTGCTATCAGTTCTGCCCTCTGAGCTGGAGCATTTAGAGGAAGTGGTTCTATTTCCCACACAGTAGTTATAGTTATTATTGTATATCCAGCATATCTTTTTCCTTTTTCAACCAAACTACTTCCATCTGTAAAAAGAGTGGCATCTACCTCAGGCCATGGTTAATCTTTTATATCAGATCTATTGGAATATATCTCATACATAATTTCTAAACAATCATGTTGAAGCATTTCCCTTTCAACAAGCAGAAGTGAACCAGACTTTAATATACTGCAAGTCTGTAACTTGATTTAAGAGTTTTCACATAATAAATTCTGATATTTTTGCATATGGCTATTTATGAACCAATGATATCCTCTATAGTTCATGATAGCCATTACTGAATGAGGGTTTTAACTATTAACTCTTGTCCCAAAGTCAATTTATCAGCTTCCTGAGTCAGCCAGGCCATAGCAACTACAGCACACAGACCAGTTGGTCAACCTTTTACTACAGGGTCAATTTGCTTAGACAAGTAAGCTACTGATCTCGGCCAGGTTCCTAATAGCTGGGTATGCACCCCTCCTGCTATTTCATCTCATTCACCAACATAAAGTATGAATGGCATCTTCAATTCAAACAAGCCCAAGGCCGATGCTTGCATCAAAGCTTGCTTTCAACTATGCAAATGTTTGGGCAAATTTGGGGTCCAATTAAATGGTTCCCTTTCACCCCCCTTTGTAACTTCATAAAGAGATCTTATCATTATAGCTGCAAAGCCCTTATTCCAACCACAGTTTTCTTTCCAATTTTTCAACTTGAGCTGAGAGTTTTTCCCGAATTGTCTTATATTTGAAACTGAACCCATAGCAGGGAACAAAATGGCTCCCGACCTTTCTCCTTCATTTAAATAAGTTCTGTCTGGATCATCTCCAACCTCTTCATCATAAACTCCCTTTTTAAAAATTGTTCTCTTTTCCAAATCATTTAGGATGG